TATAGTTTTAGCATGATAAAAGCAGGCGGCGAGTATTGTCGACAACAGCCCCTCTCAAGGCTGAGGCTAGTAATTCAGCGCTGCGTTGCCATGGTGGTCGCCATGGAAACATCCTACACCATTCGGTGAGAGTTGAAGGTAACACCCACTCTCATTGTTCATCGTTCGCTGGGCTAATGCATATTCATAGTCACAGCGAAGCCATTACCGAAGGCTTTTATTGGTCTGTGTATCCATCAGCTGCACAATACCATTACAAATGCTGCAATTCACCTATCTATGGCCTCTTAATTAAGAGGGACTAGATTAATAACCTTGGCCGATTTGATTAATAAAGCAACAGGAGTGCATCTGATTTGCGTGGAAGCATGATTACATTTCGACGTGGCTGCAGTGTACAAACTTGTGTAGGAAAAGAAGAAAGAGGCGACTCAGAACAGGTATCAGGATGAGGTTTTTAATCAGTTTGAAAGAGAAATATTGATGCGATTGCATCGCGTTTAACAGACGACACAAAAGCGATTTGCTTGTGAGATAATTGCTTCATCAGAAGTGAACAAGGTTTGCATGAATAAAAGATCAACTCAGAGCTGGAGGCCTTGAAACATATCAGCCTCCTACACAAAAACATTCACCTTAAGTTGGTCGGCGCAATCGCGTCCTACAGGGCTACGTTTGCAACAACAGAAATAATTCAACTCTCTGCTGAATTGGATTCGCATAGTTTGGGATGCACAAACACGGACAAAAAAAGACATGGCTAACAGCGCTTTTTGAATATTCAAAATGACAGGGTTTTTAAGCAAAGCCAGTTAATCAGCCGCATTGTTCACGGGTCCAAAATGCGGTTAATTATGAGCGTTAGCTACAAGTAATAATCAGATGCTACTTACCTGTCTAATGAATGGGAAAACGAACACATCTGGGCACAGATGAGCCTCTCGTTTGGTCAGAAGGTTTCTGCGTATCCACATGGACCTGGTCGCTGAGGTAGACTGTGACTTGTTGTCAGAAAGCAGAAGGAACAACAACAAAATCACTAGTCTTCCACAGCGACCCAGACCAACGTCTGCTGAAATGGAGGATGGAATCTTTAGAAACGGAGTTGTCGTTTTAATTTTAGTGGAAGGTATTGAGATTTACTTCAATATCTTGGCGGACAGGGCTTTCGGTGATCTTTTTCAATATGCTGGATTTATGTCCTGGGATATAACCATCAGCATGCCCAACACGTTTTATAGGAGAAGGAATTGATTTACTGTCTATGAATATTTATTAAAAGCTCTTCTATATGTGTGCTTTTAGCTTCAGAAGTAACCCGAGCTAAAGCTCGCCAGAGACCCACTGTGAATCCGGAGAAATCCAAGACCGATGGGAGCTCATAATGTGGTATTACCTGAAGCACACCTGCCCTTTCTATTGAGAAGTCTTCACACTCTCTGCAAAATGTCGCCCGTATCTGAAGGCTACTGTGGCAACCTCGTGTCCTCGTGTTCGGTCTGATGAGGCTCAAAATGAAAGATGATTCAGCCAGCAAGCCCCTAGTTCGAATAACAGGTCTGCTTGAAAAGGCCCGGAAAGAGCTTTAGGTGTGAATCACACAATGAATGGTTAACAAGTGGAAACCTTTGAGAAATAGAGAAGAAATGCAAGCATTTGTGAGAAAGGCAGGCAATATGAAGAATTAAAGTACAGTTCTGTCCATGTTTGTCCTTATTACATGAATTGAGAAAACATTTGTATTTATAAATATTTTTAAAGATATCTGTAAGAATTTTTTATTTATAATTTGAAAAAAATATCTTAAATATTTATCTATAAATAAAAGTATACAAATATAAAAAATAGACAACATTTACATTTAAATAGTTAAAAGAAACTTTATATAGTAAAATACTGCTACAAAAATATGACTAAATATTTTTATTGACCATAAAACTGTAATTTGCATTTAAAAATCGGCATTATTATTATTATATGTTTTCTGTGATATTCTATTATTTTATTACAGTATATCAAGTGTTATTATAATTTATAAATTGTATAATACAATGAAATTATGTATTTTGCAATGTATTATTGCATTTTATATGTAGTAAAATATAATATTTTATAATATTACGTACAGCAAATATTTAGATTTTTGTCATTGTGACATTATAATTTTTTCTGTTGCTTAGCTTAATGCAAGAAATAGTCCACCAAGTCAAAGTTGTTTGAAGGCATGCAAGTCGGTCATTTAAATTAGATTTTAAAAAAATTCACTAAAGCGCTAAAGTTTACAAATGTTTTTTTTTTTTTGCATTTGCTGTTAAATTTTGACCCCACATATAATTTTAACTCAACTATTCTCTACTGACTCTACTATTTTATGCAATTTTATTTAATTGTATTTAGCGCAACCATGTAAATCTGAGCGCCAGTGCTGCATAAATTTAAATTAGATTTTAAAAAAATTCACTAAAGCGCTAAAGTTTAGAAATGTTTTTTTTTTTTTGCATTTGCTGTTAAATTTTGACCCCACATATAATTTTAACTCAACTATTCTCTACTGACTCTACTATTTTATGCAATTTTATTTAATTGTATTTAGCGCAACCATGTAAATCTGAGCGCCAGTGCTGCATAACCCCGCCCACCAAATCTCATTGGTCCAGAATCCTTTAAAACCAAACATTCTGTTCAAAACTTGTCCCACAGTTAGGACACTTAGTGTTTCCAAGCATTAAACTCCATTCCCATCAGTCCTGCGTTCCCTGAATTACCATTAGCCACCAAGGCAGTTACCCTTGGGTATAAAAGCCGGTCATAAATGAGAAAGCACTCGGTTAAGCATGCTCACGACTCCCACGTAACGCCCGCCGTTTGGGAGATAATGAAGTGATCAGTTTTAAATGACAGATCAATGCACGGAAGAGAAAGCGACAGCAAAGGCGAGGCCGGAAAGGTGCAGCGATCTGGCCTTTTCTTATAGCTTGCACATCATTTCGCTAAAAACCTCGCCGCACACACACACACACACACATCCTAGACCTTTGAGAGTGACATTTGAAGAAGGACATCTGAGTGCATTTAGTTCTACCTTCCTCGGAAGACACGAGTGACTGGATTGTGCCCCCTTCTCTCTGAAAGAAGCACTCTTATTTCCTTTCAGTCCAGAGGGAGGAGGACTCAACAAAAAACAACAACAACAAAATCCAGCCGAAAAGCCTCCTTGGTCATGGAGCGCCTGGCGCGACGTAACACGAACCGCGAGATTCAGAAATATGTACGGCGCGCAACGTCAAACTCACCTGCGCCGACAACAAAAGCGTGACTGACAGGTGTTTTGGGATGGCAGGGGACCGTCAAAGCTAAGGTTACAACGGCCCATTAATTTTGTATAAGGCCCTGCTTGGGTTAGCACATACAAAGAGAAAGCAACAATCGGGAGGCCATTGTGTCGGAGATGGCATTGAGCGGAGACTGACAGCGCGATTCTTTAGCCCTCTGAAGGAGAGCTTCATTAGAGATGTGGCTACTCGCCGCCACCACCTCATACTGAGGTGATGGACTTTCAGAGCCCAAGCTGCACAAGGGAAATTAGCTCGGATCAACTATGGTTTTTCCCATTAAAAAAACATATTAGCCATAATAGGCTCCTCAGTTCGTCTGAATAAAGTCGAGGCGTCCTTTTTTGCTTCGGTCCCCTTCTCATTTTCTTTAAGTAGCCAAATCCGTTTCCACACGCACTTATACATTTACTTAAGATTCCAGAAAAGTGGGAGCAAGTGAGAAAAAGAAAAAAAGGTGAGAGTACCGTTCCTATTTATCTCCGGTAGGGTGTCTATCTGGAAAATAATGGGCTCTACGTTGAATAGTAATCCTTTATTAAGGCTAGTTAAATTATGCTCTTCAGTTTAGGATGGCCGCCTTTCACCGGGCACAATTAGAAAAACCGAACGCGCCGTGCGGAGAAAAAGAGCTTGGTGTCCAGCCAAGAGGAGCGAGCATTCAATTCAGCTCCTATAACACGCGAATTAAGACTAATGTCCAATTATACTGTCACCGCCATTTGTCTAAAGATAATTCGATGGAGAGAGAGAAACCTTTTTCCTTTGAGAATGTGCATAGATCATAACCGCGGGGATTCGTCATGCTTGTAAAACTTTATTACGATCATTCTTGGCGGGCAGAAATCAATTGTCTCCATTTTTTGGATTGTTGAGCATGTTATAGGGGTCTTTATAGGCCCGGGGATATGACAGTTTGGACGTCAGATGGATTCGTCGTGTCTCGCTAATGGAGAGACCTGAAATAGCTGGTCAGGCAGATGACGAGATGTTCATTTAATAGATGGTACTTTTTTCCTTCTCTACTCAGGTGTGGAACACGTATTGGGGAAAGAAAACAATTAAAAAATGCATTAGGGCAGCCGATTATGGAGCTGAGATGGCAGATAATGATGTCAGTTAGCTTAGAAATCTTGTCGGAGACGTGTTAGACTCATTCAGATGTTTAAATGAAAATGTTCCACGGCAGATGTGGAACGCTGATAATGACTAATTGCAAAAAAAAAAAAAAGCAATTATTCAACCAGTAACTACGAAAGCACCTTTTTCCTTCTGAAGCGATTAATAAATCCCCAGAGTTCAGGTATGAATTGGTTTTCGATTTTAGGAAAACAAAAATTAAATAAAGAAATAAAAAAAGTGTATATCATTATGCGATTATATAAATCCATAGATATGTTGATTTATTATATAATTCATTTGATATGATAAAAACTAAATATTTAAATAATTATTTTCTTAATAGAACATAAAAAAAAAAAAACATTTACTAATCCACACACCCCGAGTTGGCAGAGTGCAGTGATTTCACCTTTTTTGATAACAGAGAAGGCAACCATAGTGCAAAAAAACCCCTCAAAATATGTATTACTCAGTGTGAGAACACATATAGCTAGTTATCTTGCTTGTTAGCTCACTAACTCCAACTATGCATCAAAAAATCGTCCTGATATATTTCTTTAATGCAATAACACCACAGTAACACGTCACGTCGGCCCCCAACCCGGCTGGCCACCTCTCCTAATTTGATTCCCTTCACATCCAGTGAACCCATCCTTTGAGGGAACATAGCAGGAACACCTTACGTGGCTGTTCAGTCACCCCTTAAAATTGTTACCTCTCTCACTCTTTTCCGCTCTCTCTCCCTCTCCCCAGGTGCTGAGCTGAGCTGATTAGGTGGGTGACTTACAGTGACGGCGGTGACTTCCCTCTACCCCCTCTCTCTCTCTCTCTATCTTTGAGGAAGAAACACTGCAGAGATGCTTGAATCCATCTCTTACTGATTTGCTGAGTGCTGCTGGGTGGGGCTGAGAGAGCTGCGGAGCGGATGGTGGTTCCTCAGCATTGTTCCTGTAGTTACAAATCTATAATAGAAAAGTTGACGAGAAATTTACAGTCTGGAATCAGACATGCTGCAAGTCACGACTAAATAAAATTTCTTATGTTAATAGTAAAGATTTGGTGGAATAAAGAAACACGTTTTATACAGTTGCATCCACTAGTGAAAATGGCATTTTGCATTTTTCTAATTTTAATGCAGTTTTTATCCATTAAAAAGTATATTGTCAGAGTAACACTTTGAGTGAAAATTAAATTGAAATAAATAAATTACATGTTTGTATGTTCGTTTTGATTTGATAAATTTAATAAAAGTAATGTATATTATATATAAAATGTAATAATATATATAATGTATTTAAAAATATCAAAATGTTTCGTCATTTTAAATCAGCAATTTATAATTATATATATATATATATATTAGCATGCATCTGCAATTCATTTATGGCCATTTATACATAATTAATTAATGCAATATTCTGTGACCATTTTAGTTTTGATATACAATTTTCTTTTAAAATACGAAAGCAACTGTGATCTGAATTTAAAACAATGATAAACGATGGTTAAATTAATAACATAGCCCTCTCACCCTCTTCCCCAATTTAAATAGCTTTGGTTACGTTTCACAAGCAACATCTATTTTGACCACAGCTGTTACAGATGTAACGGTACATCAGATAATTGTTATTGTTGTAAATATGTGCGGGCCGGAGTGTGGTTGTCAGTCAGTGGTGTACAGACCGATTTCTCGGTAATTAACGCGGGTAAGAGCATATGATTTACGGTAATTGCCTTGACAAGGGGGCTGAGTGAAGCTACACTTAATTACCTGAACATGCTCTCTCCCAGGAGCCCAGTCAAAACGACCTTTTACCGTTTTTTCCTTTTATTTTACAGTGCTGAAATTGGAGAGATGTGGAGGTGGTGAATTTGCTCCGCACCCCTCAATCTGCCTGTCAGAGGGATGCTGAAAAATTTCGGTTTGAGGTAACTGGCAGTCATGAGAGTGCACATATCTGCGGTTTTCATGTTTGTCTGTGATAACTCTGCATTTTTAGATAAAAACACATTCAGATTTCACCGAAAACTTTCTATATGGAAAGTGTCTGGTCTATTTAAAGAGACACAATGTTGCAAACCCTCTGATTCAGTTAAGATTTTTTCAGCTGCAATCAGATTACCTGGATTGTACGTTCATGGCAAACCATCCAAGCTTGTTTTTATAGCAGCAAAAATCAATTCTGCCATTTTCTAAACTGCAGAATGTCGCAATGAAGTTGACCTCATGGCTGTTGTGCTCAAATCGAATCTGATTGTCTTTTATAGTCATCGGCGTCAATTTAATACGCTGTGTGTTTCCGAACAGGCACGTCTCTTGTTAATCAATAGGTAGAAATTTTATTTAACACATTTCGGCTGCATTCAACGAGATTTAAGCACCGTTTCCTGGACGCGTCACGCCACCTGCCGCTATCGAAACACTTGGATGGCGAAAAAGAGATTCTAGTGCTAAAACCTGAAGGGATGGAGAGGGTGATGAAGACAGCTGCCACGAATTGAGTGACGGTTGAGAACAAGTGTTAAAAACGGCAACATGACAGTATGCGCCACGTGACCGTGTGCTATTGTGTGGGGGATGTGCGGCGACTCCTGCTAGCGGGGAGCTTCCTGGGGTGGACGGCGAGGAGCGCTAGCGATCAGTGGGAGAGCAGTAGGTACGTCTATGTGAACTCAGGCCCCTCGCTGGGCCCACCTCTGATGCCGAATTTCAGTCTGACTTTACTCTGCAACCCCCTTCTTTTCCACCCCCACCCCCATTCCACAGATAGGTCGCTGGGTAGTTTATGGCACCGCAGCGCTGAGGCGAAATGCGTTTTGTCCCTCTGTTGTGTTTTTGTGTACACTCGCCATGCTCCGCGGCACTGGCGTGCATCTGTGCTCGGTGCCGAACAAAGGTCCATAGCAACAGGAGGATCGTGGCAACTGGATACCACACCTGTTTGATCTTTAAGACCTCTCCTTGATAAGTGGCCGTAACCAGGGCAACCAGGACGAAAGGGTTCAATGCATTGTTTCAATAGGTAGGGCTTAGGTAGGCAGCACAGGTCAGGATTTATGCTGGAGTACAAATAAAAAGGGTAAGAATGACATTTTGGCCAATACCGATAAGCTTATAGTTGTACCTTATTATTATTATTATATATATTTCCCTTTATACTGACTTAGTTATATTTTATATAAATATATACACATTTATTTACAATACATACTTTTTTCCCCATATTATTAGTGTTTAAAAAAATTTAACTGAGTGTTAAACGACAGCAGAGCTAATCTAAATGTTAAAATAGGGAAAATGAGCATCCGCAATGTAATATTCAATATAAGCTGATACCAATAAGCAATAATAAATCAATCATATTAAATAAATACAATAAAATAATTTTACTTATTTAATTTGTAGCCTATCATTATCCATCTATCTATCTATCTATCTATCTATACACACACTAATATAGTCCAATATATTGAGCTCTATTTTGCAGTTCAAATGTTAAGGATGCATTAGCAAATTCATACTCACACACCACCAACAGATGATGTCAGCGCTTCTCCTCACAGTTTAGTGAAAACCTGGAAAAAAAAACACAGAAATTGTCATGGTTACATAATGGATAACTGCACATATCGACTCGCATTCTACATTCATTTCAAGTCTCCGTGGTCGATGTTTATCTGTAATTAAAACTAGAACAGAAAAGATATATCGCAATATCTCTCCCGAGACCTGCTCTGATTTGCACAACATACATGCACCATCTCTTCCACAGCAGCCGAACCCTGCTGCGCACAATCTTAGTCCTGCTCACTTCCTGCTTTGTTATTCAATTGCACGGCCTAACAGACACTCTCTCACCGAGAGGAAAGCCGAGCTTCTTAGCCTACATACCCTTGGGATCCGTGTCCGTGCAGGCGAATGACACATTGGACCATGAATAAGTGTCCGTTTGGAGACAGGAAAACATTTACATTCTGAACTAGATGGCCGAAAACTTGAGGATATTTGACTTCAGTGAAGGTTTTGCTGGATCACTGGTGAATAATTTGGGGGGAAAAAAAAAAAACATATATAATTGGTTTATTTTATAGGTTTCATATATTAAAGAAGTTCTTCACCAACTAGATAAAGTATAGTTAATCGCTACAATTTTTTCTTTCTGTAGCAGACAATGTACCAACAGATTTGGTTTAAGGCCTTCCGCTCCTAGTCAGCCTCTCACCGACCCCTCCCATCGCCTCCAGTC